ACAACACTCACATTCTGCATCTTTACTGTGAAAATCACGAGGTGATATAACCAATAAATTTCCTGGATATTTTATTTTCATGAAGTCCATTCCAAAATGTGGCGCATACTTTTTGAATGCACATAAAATTTGTTTTGCATTATCCATCGGTATCGCGGCTAGTCCCATAAAAAGTAAACTTTCTTTAAATCTCTTATAACTTTGCAGATGATATTCATAATTTTCTTGGAGAACAGTTAATAATTCCTTATTAATGACATACATTATACTTAACTTATTATCTAAGAGTGGTTGAATTGAAACTGATTTTGTATGTGTAGATACGCTGTTTTAAATGGTTTTCCCTACTACTTCATATCACGTGATTATTCCTCTCACAGTTCTCTTATTACATGTGGGATCAAGTTCTCATTCTTCATTGCTCCGGATTCGGTATTGTTCTATATTTAGAAATGATGTCATCGACAGCTGACAACCATATGTAATGTAATATTATATTTTTAGAAATGATGTAATGTTCTATTTTTAGAAATGGCATCTGGCAACAATATGCGACGTAATATTCTATTTTTAGAAATGATGTAATGTTCTATTTTTAGAAATGATGTAATGTTCTATTATTAGAAATGACATATGGTGCTATTTTTAGATTTGATGTAATCTATTTTTAACAACCATCGGCCTCTGGTCGTCTGGGGTCAAGGTCATCGACCTCTGGCCGTCTGGGGTCAAGATCATCGACTTCAGGTCGTCAGGGGTCAAGGTCATCGACCTCTGGCCGGCAGGGGTCAAGGTCATGCCAAGGTCATCGACGGCTGGTCGTCTGTGGTCAAGGTTACCCCAAGGTCAAGTCAAGGTCATGGGCGTCTGGGGTCAAGGCCATCGACCTCTGGTAGTCAGGGGGTCAAGGTCACGTCAAGGCCATCGACCTCTGGTCGCCAGGGGTCAAGGTCACCTCAAGGTTTAGAAAGTTTTTCCGTTTGAACAGAAGCCAGTTTAATTACATTTTATCATGTGTTGAAAGTGATTTGAAAGGACAGTCATGTAATAAAGTAAAACAGCCTATAAGCCCTGCAGAAAAACGGATTGACGCTCAGGGGGGCAATTCTTGACCATTCGTTTCCTTGCGAATCGTTCGCAACTTCTCGATGAACACTGAAATCCAATTCTTGAGCATTCGCATTATTACGTATTCGCAAATTTCTGTGCGTTTTCTTGCGAGCGGATCGAAAGCATTCGCAACGATGAAGTGGGGTTACGTTTTTATGCATTTTTATGTTCTCATGCTGTTCTGTTCATTTGATTTGTCAGTTGTGCTACATTTATTTATTAGGTTTTATAGTAAACTTTGTAGTTAGGTTTAGGTATAACAATAATAATTTATGGGCACAAATACCGTGTAATACTGCAACGTTATCGGTTTTCATTAACCATTTGTCGACACTGTGACGTCATCTTTAAATTTTATTAAATATTATTTTTTTACTAAAGCGGCTTCAAAAGAAATTGAGACAAAATCGTGAGTTAATCTCACCAAAGACTATTCGCTAGGCAATTAAAAAGAGTAGTGCATTAGCCCATTACTCCTATCTATTATGTCGAGTTTGAAGGCCGAATTTCAGCCAGAAATTATTTAAAACAGGTAGTACTTACTTTTCGCCAACTTTTCCAATCTTTCTCGGCCCCCGGCATACTATTTAAAATGGCAGAAATATTCTGCCAGTCCTTTGCTGCATCTTTTACAGTGTAATTGCTAGTTTGTTTTCCACTGATTAAAAGCGGCCTCTTCTTTACAAACTCTATCAGAGCTGCTTTTTGATTTTCAGTAACATTAATTCCACGTTTTCTGTCCATTATTAACAAGGCACAAGAACAGGAAAAGAAAACAACAAAGATCGGCGATCACCGTGCAAACTGCAAACACGAAACAATAAAAAATAAACAGTAAAAAGTAGGGTTAAACTGGTAACAGCTGATTTCATATTTAGGGACTGTGATTTGTCGACGTTGCCAGAGCTCCCTGAACGTAAACTTGCGAGCGCTCGCGATGATCGCAATTTAAGTTGCTTTTAAGCGATGAATCCCAAGAATTAGACCCCAGGTAAGAACAAATATACATTTTTTAAGCTCAATATATTTATTTGAGAAATATAACAAAACGTACCTAATCGTTAAAAAAAACGTAAAAATAGTTGCCCAGTAGTAATATCTACTGAAAATTTAAACCAGACATGTTTGTCATATACTGCACGTCGTTATCTTGCAAAGAAGGCGGTGACTGGTAAGAAACAGAAGATCCATGGGGAGCAGGACCA